GGGACTGGAGAGGGGGGGGACAATCATGCTCCAGCACGGTTCAGGGCAACAGGGCCGAGTGTGAGTTCGCCCTAAATTGTTTTCAAACGTTGCTGTTTTCTCCTTGTGAGCCACCTCTCTACAAGGTTTCAGATCAACATCGGGTCTCTGAGCTCAGTATGCAGACTAAGCAGCTGGGCCATCAACCAGTTGGTATTTCTTCTGACAGATCCCGGGCTATGCTAACTGATGAACTCCCATCTCTAATGGTAAAGACGTTAATCGTTCCTAATTAACATCTTTTCCTTCCATTGCTGATCATCATGAAAATAAACAGTATGCAGCAGAAAAAGCCCCCAGCTCACTCTCTGTACCCCCCCCCACCCCACCCTCTCTCTATTTGTATTGACCCAGGTATGGATTAACTGACAAACTGATCGATCAGTCAGTCGACTCTGCAATCTAAAAACACACACGCACACGCACATCTGACCTTAGGAAACCTCCGTTACAGTCTGTCAGCATGCAGTAGGTGGTCTTGTGATCTGTGTGTGTGTGTGTGTGTGCATGCATTTAAAACCCCATGATGCCAAAGACGTCAGCTTTTCCCCTGTTGCCGGGGGAACCAGTCATGTGGACGAACACCAGAGAAGAGACGAGAGGAACCTGCCTCAAAAATCAGCTGATTGTGACAAATTTTATGTAAAGTTTTTTTGTTTTTCTCGAACTGTCACTTCATCGACGCTCCGACACGTTAAGCGCTGACGTCTGCAGACCTGAGTCATCTGTTTTTCGAGTGTTTTGAGTGTGATCTAGAAAAGCAGAATATGGACTCAAGTGTACATTGTTAAGAGCTTAAGTTGTGCTTCTTTAATCTGAAGGCTCAACATATAAACATTAGTGTAAAGTGATGTGCAAACAAAGGAGGAAGCCGGAGAGGACGAGGCAGAGGTAGAAACACAGGGAGAGAACGAGGGATGAGATCACCGTCTTCATTTACGACTTGCTCAAAGATAAAACAAAGAGGAAACTTTTGAGTTAAACTTCATGTAGAGAAAGCGAACAAGCACTTTGTGATGAATGAATCACATATATATACTGTATGTGTGATATGAGAAGGATTGCTCCACAGGTGGATTTACTGCAGAACCCTTTTTTTTTTTACAAAGGGTTATTTTGAAAGTCCTAAATACATTTCCTTTATCAATATACACATCATGATGGTTATTACTAGAGTAGGAGCTTTGACATTATGTGTGAAAAAAACACCTGTGACCTCAGGTGTGATTCTGTCTGATAAACAATCTTTAAAACACTCCTCTTCACCACAGAAAGACGAGAACATGAGCATTACCGTGACGACCAACAACAAAACCCAACAGACCGGTTCTCACACACACACATACAAACACACAGAGGGTCTGGAATGGAGAAAAAAAACATTAAGTGTTTTTCCATGTTGACATGACCTGTCAACATAAAATGAGTTCTGCAGTATGTGTGAGTGTGTGTGTATGAGAGAGAGAGAGAGAGATTCAGCTGTTCCTCTCGTCTCTCACACACTCAGCAGCTGACGGGTTGAAGGAGCTGAGAACAAGAGGACAGAGGAGACGACAAAAGATACGAGAGAGAGAGAGAGAGAGAGAGAGAGAGAGAGAGAGAGAACTAAAGAAAGTAACACTGCTCAGTGTATGAGTCAAACGTAAAAGGCTCTGATTTGGAAGACAAGCCTTTGATTTGCTGGGACATGAAACAGAATAGTGAAAGAAGATTTGAGGATCCTTTAAAGTTCATATCAGCCGGCAGCAGAGACTCTCATCCTCGGAACGATCAAAGCTGCAGAGATCACTTTGAGCAGACTGACTGACACCTGCTCAGTTTGCTCTGGAAGTAAAGACTCCACCAGCGACATGAACCTCCTGTCCACTTTGAAAAGAAATGCCCGTAAAGAGATGGGAAATGTTTGAAATTATCCAGAACCTACAGTTCATTTTGGGGTATTTTTTTCTAAAAAAAAAAAAAAAAAAAAAATATATAAATGACAAAGAACTGACTAAAACTAGTTTTGCTTTTATTTTATCAATTAATGTGACAAAAGCAATCTGACGTTCCCTTCAAGGATGAATAAAGTATCCAGAATTTCTCTTTTGGGGTCAAAGTGCGAGTGTACACTTGTCTTTAAAAGTTCACTCCAATAGTTACCAACCAAACAGTCACTCTGTAGGAAGGAAACGAGGGGCGAGCATGTGAACTACGGGAGCCCGAGGGGAGCAGCAGAGTAAACTAAAGAGAAAATCTTCTTTTTGAAAATCCTCCTAGAAACACAAATCTGATTTATCGATGAAATGGATTCATTGCCCATCCATAGGCATGACAAGTATTCACTCAAATCTAATATTTTACAAACCTCTCTCTCTCTCTCTCGAACCAGCAGAAACAGAATTGAACTCTTTTGTTGTCACTTTACGTCCACAGAGGGGAGACAGCTGTTAACACACACTGCACGTCAGTCAACATGACGTCTGTAAAGATAGCATTAGCTTTTCACTGAGCTAACTGCTAACAGATGGCAACAGCCTGCGTTAGCTGCGGGGGTCAAACTGGGCACAGGTTCAAAGAGAGGCAGAGCCGACAGAAGTCAACCTGTTTTTAACCTGAACGCACGTTTCTCCAAGAAAGATGAGCTGTGAGAGAGCTGCTTTTAGACCTAATGAGATGACCAACGATAAAGAGACCAGACCAGAACAGAGGACGTAAGGCGAGCTGTTGTCTACCATGAGTTCTTCTACTTAACTCAAAGCCACAGGTACCTGAGCAGGAGAGATCTGCCAGGTGTGAAATATCTCTTTGCAGACGGCCTGGTGTCTACTGTTCATCTTTCGGGGAGAAAAGTTGGACGAGGCTGCGATGCAATGAGAATAACAACTCTGCATATCGGTGTGTGACAACAATATCTTAACAAATGAAGTTACATAATGAACAGTACAGCCACGGAGCTTTATGTAACCAGGGCTTTCTATTAATCCAGCTGTTTCTTTCACATTGTTAACTCACTACGAGCACCAAACAGAGGACGCCTGCCTGTGTGGATGAGATGATTTCATTTCTCAATGTGGGTGCACAACGTTAGAATAGAATAGAATAAATTTACTTTATTGATCCCAAACTGGGAAATTGTGGTGTTACAGCAGCATGTTATCAGAGCAAATTAAACAATATAAGAATAGATACATAGTAAATAAGCACTTAAAATATAAAATAAATAAGAATAAGAAGAGATTTATACATTAAGGATTTAACTTAACATTCTTACCGGTTAAAAAAATGAAAAATGAAATACAACATTTATTCAGGCTTGTCAACTGAATGTAAAAATAATTGCTGGATGTAAGAGATGTAAGTTTTTGCGAAAACAGTTATTGTCAGTTCAACAGTGCACGCTCCAGTCCTACAATAAATGTATCCCGTCGTACATCATGGTCATTTCTTTCTCTCCTGTTGTTGAACTATAAGTCTTGCCATGTGAGATGCACGATGGTGCCTTATGATAACATGATGATGGTTTGCAGAGGAGGAAATGTGCTGCATGTGATTTTATGTGCTGCCTAAGGCGACCTCCTTCATATGACCCTCTGCCACTTTAAGGACTGTGCTGCTATTAACCTGCAACCCGTGCTGTTAGGGGTTTTGAAACTGCATGTATGGACATTAAAAGTCAATGTGCATCATTTATATTAAATGTCTCTGCATGTGTGTTTTATTCTTTTTTTTTTTTTAGAAACAAACATGAGCACTGAGACATGACAGAGCAGGTCTGCAGAGACGTCTACAGAGAGGAGCGGCTATGATTCACCTCCCACACACACGCACCCCCATATGCCGCTGGATTTCCTCAGAATACCAACTGACTTCTGAGTTACATAATCATAGCAGCAGCAGCAGCAGCTGACGGGCTTAGCGGAGATCGAATACACGGAGAGAGCAGCTCTGAAAACCCGGGTAGTCCCTGTCCACGTCCGGCATGTATTTATAGAGCCTGCAGCCTGAATCACCGGGAGTCAATACTGATACTAACCTCTCAGGAGAGGAGACGGTCTGTTCATGTTTGAAGTGAGCCTGACAGTAAATATAGACAGATAGGTGAGGGAGAAGATGATTGGTTGGCAGAGAATCCTGATTTCAACCTGCTCACTCCCTTTAGGACGAAGCTGAACGCAGAGAATGAGCTTGTAGGCCTTGTATGTGAGAGTGTGTTGGACCATAACGATGCTCATGTAGCTGAATCTAAGATCTCACAGACGTCCTGGAACAGTGGAAGCTGTTACTACAAATAACGTTTAACGGAGATTTGTCTGGCAATGCAAGCTGGTTCACTGCGATAGATTCGGCTGTGACATTTCTTTTTCCTTTTTTTAACCTGTCCCATCATGAGTCCGACATGTTTCAGGGGTACAAGGTCAAATCACAGACAAATGTTTTTTTTCAATGGACTGTGGGTACAGTGATTGTCATGACACAGAAGGGGGAATACTTTGATACGCTGTGGAGTGCGTATGTGTGAATGTGAGAAACCCGACCCTAGTTTAAACCAGACAGCTGCACATGAGGTCTCACTGTGTCACCACTGAGAGAGGACAAGTGAGGAGAGAAAGAGCAAAAAAAAAGAAGAAAAAAGCAGACGAGTGACTCGAAAGGTGAAAAAAAACAGAGGAGGTGAAGAAAGAAGGGAAAGAGAAATGAAGGGAATCTGGTCTGCTAATTTTCCTGGCCACACATCCTCCAGCAGCACATCTTGAATGGTGTCTACAATATTCAACACCACACGCACGCACAGCCAGGTCCAGGAGGAGTTAATGGGGATAATTAGTTCCCTCATGATCTCACAATTGATAACAGAATAGAGACGCAGTGAAAGATCAGACTGCAATACGGAAGGAAAGAACAGAGAGAGCATTTCCCTCAGCTCTTTTACATGATGTCTCGCACGCACGCACGTGTGTGTGTGAGGTGTGTTTGTTTACCTCTGGTCCCGGTCGCCATGTCTGCCACCTTCTGAAAAGCATCGAGGAAGGCCCCGGTCACCATGATGGTCGTCCTGATTCAAGGAAGAAATAAAGACACATCTATTAACTGTTTAAAAAGGTTGAGGGTTCAATTCAACACCTGAGTCTGAAAATGTCTCATCCAGACGTCCCAGAGAACCTTCATGTTTTAGAAACATTTGAGTGCAGTCATAGTTATCAATCTCATTGTCATGGCAACCGTATCTGCACTGAACAAAACACCAGAGAGACAGAAGACGGCACATCAGTTATGATCAACTGTAATTCAATCAACTCGATCTAATTCTCTGACTTCCCTCCTGCAGGACGGGCGGCGGCTGATCCTGTGACTGATGTGACGTGTTTACTTATTACTGATCGGTAAACACAAACAAACTAAACAATAATATCTTCTCCGGTTCAGATCAGAGAAAGACAACATGGTCAATGTGAGCGGTGCAACTGGAGACCTTCTGACTCACACACATCAATGGACCTATTGTCAGTGTGTGTGTGTGTGTGTGTGTGTGTGTGTGTGTATGTATGTGTGTGTCCTATTATCAGTCAGGTTTATGTTTCTATAGCTCCACACACACATACACAGATAACCCGAACACACACAAGCATTACCCTGAAAACTAAAGAGATCAGATGACACCGCAGTCAATACTGTGTGCGCGTCTCTGTCCTAAGTGGAAATTCATTCATATTGACACACACACACACACACACACACACACACACACACACACACACACACACACACACACACACACACACACACACACACACACACACACACACACACACACACACACACACACACACATGTCTTAATTAGTCTATATATATATTCTCTTATTGAGAGGAATGAACCATCATAAATTCCAAGCTAACCCCAGCACACGATCTAAAGCACAAACACATTGGCACCATTTCTTACTGACAGATGGTGCACTGTTGATATTTAAAGTCAGACATATTTCACTTGTCAGTAGACTCATCTACAGATCATTTGTTAGTAATTTAAAGTCCTGTTCTTCTCTGACGGACAGCAGCGCCGCGACACAAATATATTCTGAACGCTTCAAACTTCTTTAAGCTAATGTAGGTTATCTTTTGGACTCAACTCTACAAAAGTGATGCTAAATATTCCTGATGTGTTCAATGAAATGAACGACTTAGGACCTAAAAACACACACACACACACATTAATGAACTATCACAGACATTACTGAATTTTAAAAATAGTATTTCTGATTCTGATTGTAATGTCTTCATGTTTAATGTTTGATAGGACACTTTAATTTTTTTAAGTGGTTCAACTGTAGAGTTAAAAGTGTGTATCAAAGCGTTTTGTTTTCTTTCTAATTATCCACAGCAGGTGTGTATGTGTGTGTGTATGTGTGTGTGTGTGTGTGTGTGGGGCTGACTGACTGTCAGGGATAATGGGCTGTGACTGGCTGTAGGAGGCAGAATGATGCTTATCAAAGTAAACTGGTCTAATGGGATACAAAAACCATTATGCTGTTATTGCACCGACTGTGTATGTGTATGTGTATGTGTGTGTGTGTGTGTGTGTGTGTGTGTGTGTGTGTGTGTGTGTGTGTGTGTGTTACCTGAGCTGTGATTGTAGTTTGGCTCCTTTGGTCACAAAGTCCTCCCATGTGGGATAACTGGCCTGCAGCAAACAGAGAAAGAAACAAAGCAGCGATATCAAACCTCTGACAGCATCCAAACAGTTAAACTGAACACTTCGACCAAAAACACATCTGGTGCCAATAATCCTTAAAGAGCTTAAGCACCTTAATGAGGGAGACGCAGCTTTTACTGCAGCATTAGATTTAAACCTGTCAGGTATTTCTCTGCACAGCGTGGGAATATTCAGACACAGAGCGGACAAAGAAGGAGGGCTAGAAATGTTTCATGCATGTTTAAAAAAACTACAACTCTGATTAGTGCTCATTGTTTTGTCATATAATGAATAAAGATGCAGGTATTTCTCAGTTCTAGGTTCTAATTTGCAGTTTTAAAAAGTCGTTTTTTTTTTAATATTGTGCACGACAAAGCTGCATTAGAGTCGTGACATTTCCCCTCCGGTGTGGTGTGAGCAGGATGCAGAGCTCAGTGTAGATAAACCCAACGTTGAGACGAGCTCAGTGAAAAATGTGCAGTTTCATGCAGGAATGGATCCCAGCTTCACGGCGGCACTGTGAGCCCGCCTGCGTTTATCAGTGTTTCCTTCTGTTTCTACATGTTTATGTTCAGCCTGAGAGCCGCAGCATCTGTCCGCATGTCAAACACGGAGAAGCCCCAAAAATAGCTCGAGTCCGTCAGCTGCCGGCTGCTTTTCCACGTATCAGCGCGGCTGCTGTTAGAAGACGCGCTGAGATCTCTAACGCTGGACGTCTTCTTACATTCATCCTTTAACACGACCTGGATTTAAAAAACATTCAATATATGAGATTCCCCGTTTGATGACTTCATCCTCCTTTCCTTTTCTACACACTCCCCTCTTTTGCTTTTCTTTACCAAACTCTTTTTACTTTTTGTCCTAACTTTATGTTCTTGAATTGTGGGCTGCGGTGGTTCAGTGGTAGAGTCGGTCATCTCTCAACTGGAAGGTCGGGGGTTCAATCCCCAGCTCCTACAGCCACATGTCTGATGTGTCAGAGGAAATAAGGTTGGGAACACCCAGCTTAAGGGTTTATACGTGCTTCATCTGCTGATAATGGAAAATTGTTGCTATAATCATGAGGTAAAAACTAGAATGAAATCTCAATTTCCTCCTTATTTTAACACGCTGGGACAAAGGCCGCAAGCTAGCTGCTGCAACATTTGTGTTTGAAGCGGCTCCGTTGTTCACAGATCGCTGACGGAGCAACAGATGACATGAACGACTGTAAACTCTGCAGAGAGTCTCAAAAAACAGAACTGTGATGTTAGTGCATGGTACGCCCCTGTGAAGTTTCTCCTTCAATCTGAATGTCGGGGAGGCGTAATGAGGGGATGAAGTGAAAAGGGCTCATGATTGACTCTCCAACTTAGCTGGGATTTCAGTATTTTGTCTGAAATTTGAGCAACATCTTAATTAAAACAAAAACCAAAGACTCTGCCTTCTCATTCATTCGTCATAAAGAATACTTTGTGGAAAGAAAAATCCTTCTTGGAAAGAGTTTACATTTGTACAAAAAGACAGAAAGATGTCTTGTTTCCAGTGACTTAAAGGCATGTTGTTGTTGAAAAACGTCCTTCAGGAGGTCAAATCTGCCCCTATGTCTGCAGCAGCTGATTGATTATGTAATCTAAGTCTGGTTACTGCTGAAGGCTCTGACCTCGAGTTACATTGGAGAGGAACAGCTGCTGCTTCAGTCTTCTGGTGATTCAATTTTGGAGAAAAAAAAAGGCAGGAAAGCCCTGCTGGAACGGAGAGCAACTCTCTCCCTCTTTATTTTCCTGAACTCAGTCACACTTCCGTCCTCTGTCACTGCTGCTCCACTGGAGGGCGGATAAGATGGATTTAACCCCTAACACCACCACATTAGCCTCTTAGCTCAACACCGCTAAAGCCGTTAGCCCAGCCCCTGGTTTCACAGCTAGCCAGGCGTGCACACAGCGTGGGGCTGATAGGTTTACTCACTGCAGGGATTTAGCACGTCTTCGCGTGTGATGAAATACTGCAGGTGACCGGCCGAATGCCTCCGCTGAACGACTAACAGTGAGCCTGGGATCCAAGACAGGCACTGATGTATTAGACTGCACTCCAGAACATTATTCATCACTGCAGGAACAAATAGATTTAGGCAAGGGATATTCCCCCCAACATTTAGTAGTTTACTGTTTTCAACTATCAAAAATTGCAGGAAGACTCCTGCAGGAGCTGGGAATCGAACGTGAGCCACAGAAGAAGCATGGAAGTGTTTTTGGTGTCTCTATAGTTACAGATATTCAGTGACAGTAAATTAAAGGCAGTAGGTCACAGCTTGATCATTTCAGAGTGTTTGGAACTGAAGGCATTCATATTATAATTTAATCTTTCCAGAAACTCATTTTATGCAAGAGGTTTTTCCCCGTATTAATCTTTCAGAATATCCCAACGTGGAAAATAGTCTCATGCATAAATCTGCCTGCACTCGTAGGGAATCAAATTTCTTGTTCCTCCTGTTCTCTCCCTCTGACATTTTATTAGGTTTCTGTAAATGCGTGTCTACTTACTCTTTCTACGTTCACAGCTGTATTAGCTTGCTGTTGGTGGATTTAAAAAAAAAGACAGGACTAGATTTGGAGAGGAGAGGAGAGGAGAGGAGGTAGAATACTTTGCATAAGCAGAATTTTTGTAGTACTTTCTATTCCTTCTGTGGCCAGAAAAAAAAAGCAGAAGCACTACTACTTAAAACACAAAAACATGCAATGCTAATCTGCTGTGCAGGACAATTTTACAAGAATGCATTGAGGACATTTTTATTTATGTGACTAGGTTGACAGTTTTAGCTTGTTGCAGACTTGTGTGTCTTTTATAATCATTAAAACAAGGAGTGTGAGCGTGTGAGCAGGATATTATCCGATGAATTCACCTCGAGCGAGTATTCAGCAGGTAGGCCATCCTGTCATCCAATAAGGATTAAAAAATTATTATACAACCTATCATAGTAAAGAGGCAGCCACAGAAGCGACATGATTTTACTTCAATCCCAACATTCATCATAAAAATACCTTCTCAAATGCCAAGCCTAGCATGAAGTTGCCAATAGAAAGGAGCATATATGGCACATTGTTTTTCTACCCATGGGTGGTATGCTGCTTCTGTTTGAGTGTGTATGTTAACATAAGAACGTACTACTGTTATATTCCATGTACTGAAAATGTACGGAACAGTGACCCAAAGAACGCAGTTACAAACCATGCAGTGGATTGTGTAATTTTCTCCCACCCTTCCGTTCACAAAAATCATCAGAGCAGGGTTGCTCTGACTCTCACTTCCTCACTGTGATATCCGTTATCTAAGAAAAGAATCGAGGCAGTCACTGAAGGTCACCATGAACAACTGGGATAAACTACAAAGCACGCTGTTACAACTCGTAACTCCTCCCTTGTGTTTCAGTCTGCGCTGCTCTCTGAGGCTCTTCTTGTTCCCTCCACTTCTCGCCTGAACCTTAAATTCTGTCAGGATTTGTTGTGGCTGCAGGAATGTGACACTAGCTCGCAGACTAAATATTCCAGCAAAGCAGAGTTGACACCACCAGACTGAGTACCAGGGTCTGCTGTGGTCTGATACACACAGCCTTTAAAGCTGTGGCTAATTTGGGGTCGTGGGAGCCACAAAGGTCACTGCTGGTGTCCAGAGGGCTTCCTTGAGACAGCTGCAGAGAAAACAGCCGTGCACTCTCAGAAGAAGAAATGGACCAGACAAACATAATGAGGACATGTTGGTCTGAAGGAAACATGTATGTCTTTTTGCTTGATTTTCTGGAATGGTTCAGAATTGAGCACAATTTATTCAAAATCATCAGCAGGTAAATTTGGTAATTAGGTTTTCCTAGTGTGGCTAACGTTAGCAGCGCTAGCATCACCAGCCTTCAGTCCTCCCTGTGGGTTAACGTCCACATGTCCATGCTGTATGTGGTTACATATTGTTCCAGTCGATATGTGACACAGCCTCCATACTACTTAATCTCAGTTTTCTAGATCAAAATACTGCTCCTCCTACAAGACGCTATCTGTTCACTGTGCTTGTTTACATCCAGGTAGTAGAGCGAGGAGAGCCGGCTCATTAATCGGAGTAATAAACCGTCTATGGCTACAGCTAGTGGCACAACATTTGACCGACATCGAGGGTTCAAATATTAAGAATTTGTTCAACCAACTAGTAATTCTGGTGCAGACGTTTAACCTTTATGACGTTTAACCGTTTAGTCGAGAAAACTCTCGCATCTCGAAAGAAAACATAAGAAATTACTTCTAGCTAGCAGCTTTAAAAAACTCTTGATCAGAGCTCTCCGAGAGACGTTTTTAAGACCTCTAACAGCCTCGGCTACGATCAGTAAACTATGACTCAGCGATATGTTTAAATTCAAAGGAACAGCAGTCATTTGTTGTCACACTTTTAAAGAGCACAATCCTCCTGACACATCCAGCATCAGTGGAGTTGTAGATTAAATAATGGTTTGTTTTATGGAGCGCTTAAAAGGTTGTTTAATTAGACAACTTAACCATAATAATTGACGATACATTTGGATTGTTAAAGAATAATCTACATCAGAATGGAAATATTAGTAGCAAACATTTATCCAAAGAAAAAAAAAACATCTTTTTGATCGAGGATATTTCTTAAACTAATGTCATGCCTCATAGTTTGAGGATGTTTCATGAACTCGGCATCGAGCTTTAACTCCTCTCAGATGAGTGGAAACAGTCTTCATGCTCCAGCAGCACTGACACACTGAACTCTATTCACAAAGCTCTCCATGTATAGAAGACATACAGAGCTGTCATCCTATCTGCTTAGTCAACCAGACAGCATGACCAGATATACTGTTACCTTTCCCTCTGTGTGTGTGTGTGTGTGTGTGTGTGTGTGTGTGTGTGTGTGTGTGTGTGTGTGTGTGTGTGTGTGTGTGTGTGTGTGTGTGTGTCACCTGTATGCAGCATCTAATCCTACCATTATAATCCTGACTTGCTCTA